TACTACTACTTACTTTCTTATTATCGTCTCTCTCTCTCTCTCTCTCTCTCTCTCTCTCTCTCGCTCGCTCGCTCGTTCGCTCTCTCTCTCTCTCTCTCTCTCTCTCTCATTCTCTGTCGATCCAAATATTTAACAAACACAATTAAAGATATTTAATTTATATAAAATACGTAATTATATACGTATATAGATACGTAACGCGTCTAAGAAATTTCTTCATTTATCTTTTTTCTATCCATCGTCACATATATATCAATATAAACGATATTATTATAATAATTATTGCGTTATCCAACAAAATAACATTTTTACAATGTAGAAAATATTCGTCCAAATACGATGAAAATTACGCAACTAGTCATAACATTATAGTTAAATTTCTTCTACGCACGCGTACTCCAGTGTTTTTAGACGTGTACACATTATATACAACAAAAATTATAAAGTATCACTTAAGAACATTTATATTTTAATTATTGCTATCTTTCGCGAAAGAATAGTGTTACGGGTTTCTGAAAAATTTAAAAGATGTTAACAGGAAATTTTCTCCAGGAAAGCAGACGACATTTTCCTCCTGTGCGTAAAACGGTATTTGAAATAGAAAAGAAATATAAATTTATTTCACCTTAAAAAAAAAAAAAAAAAAAAAGAAAAAAACTAACAATAAATGATAATTCAAATTAAAAAATAAAAAAAAAATGAAATTTTAATAATATACACAAAAACTTTAGCAATGTATTAAAAATAAATGCTTAAGTATCAAAACGACTATTGTATTCTACTACAAATACTGATTTACATAATTATAATCTTGAACATTATTTGCATTTGTCGCTCCTTCCTTCGAGAAACAAATTTTTTTTTGATCATTAAAAAAAATACAGAGATCAACGAAACGAAATGATTTCGTTAAGAAAAAAAAAAAAAAAAAAAAGAAAACACATCCAAACATACAATTTATAGTAAAATTAATAATATATTTTCTTCACACTTGAAATCTTTCGACATTATTCATCTGGAACTGGTCGTATATCGATCGAATGTCGAGAAAGTGAATAGGAAAAAAGAAAATCGATAATGATATGAAAGAAAGTCGGTTTTACATTTGTTGTAGCCAAGCGAGCTCAGAAATAATATTTTTAATACTAAAAACTTAGTAATAATAATCTACACGTAGAAAAGCATTTAAACGTCGAATTGAAAGCTCGCCGTTTATATAATAATCATATAATGGCTTCATTGTAGTAAAATTATAGTAATAACAATCACATATGGTGTTATTTATCAACGAGATATAACACGCAAAAATGTTTAAAATGATAGGACATAAATAATTTAGATATATCGTGTGCTCGACGTAGTGCTTAGAAACCATGTAACATTAAAAATATATATATATATATATATTTATATGTATAATATATATAATATGTATAAATTGTTGAGTTATTTCCTATAAATATCTTCTAAAATCTGGCTTGGCAAATTAAATCACTTAGAAACAAATTCACAATTTTTTTTTTAGTCATTAACTTTAGGCACCAATGGTATGCAGACCCTGTCTTTGGTACATACGACCGATTCTATTTTATCATATATCTGAACGTTAGAAGACATCACTTGATTTATCTTCCAGTCATTAAAAGAATTCTTTCGTTTAACCAGTTACTCCATACACCATACACCAGTTACTCGTTCCTTCGTTTCATTTGTTCATTTCACATTGTTTGTTATATTATCAGTTTCAGCTTTGTTCCAGTGCGATACCAAGGAATTATTCGTATTCCTTTTCCTTTCTTTTCTTTTTTTTTTTTTTTTTTTTTTTTCTTCTCTTTTTCTTTTTTTTCATTTAGCAAAACGACACAGTCCTCAAACACGTCTCGTAACAAAAACTCAGTCTTCTTCCTTCTTCTCTGGCTTCAAATCTACCATTGCGTGGAGTTCTTCCGGACTGTATCTACAATTGATATTATCATATTATAATATAATACTAACGATCGATCAATCAATGAAACAAAAAGTACTCTTTTATCAACCGATTAACCATCCAATTAATGTCCGGGATAATTAAAAGTTTAGAAAATATTAGATCCTTACCCTAAGAGACTCTGTAAGTCACAGACAAAACGATAAACGTATCGTTTGCCGGCTGTTTTATGTATAATATTTTTGTCATAATAATAACGAAGACCACGGCTCAACTTCTCGTAATTCATTTTAGGCTTGTTCTTGCGGATGCCCCAGCGACGTGCCACCTCGTCTGGATCCGTCAGCTTAAACTCCCATCCATCACCGGTCCACGAGATAAAGCCTTGGCATGATTTATCTGTTAACAATTCTAGCAGAAACTGCCAAAGTTGAATGGGACCGGAACCGGTAAAGCAAGGTCCACTGCCTGAAACATTAAATAAACAATTTTTTCCCATCTTCTCCGCAATTACCATCTTTTACGCGTAAAAATAACAATTTCAAGCAATCATCAATCATTACTTGTATAACCAGGGATCATCGCGCTCTGCAACAGAGGCTTCTGATCAGGATTATTTCCGATAGACGAGGGATGATGAGGATTGGAAGAGTCCCTTGGGCCAAGACCGGCTAGGAATGCCGGATGATGGGACAAGTGCTCGAGAGGGCCTACTCCCCATTGATCACCCCCAACGCCACCACCTCCACCTCCGCTTCCGCTTCCTGGAACCGTTTGGAATGGCGTCGCGTCGTATTGCCCGTATCCACCGCTCTCGCTGTATCCCTCGTGGTATCGACCTGTTGCGATCGTTTAAAAACCCATTTTTCACGATTTATATACAAGCGTTTCACGTTTTTTCCAATAGTATTTTCAATCATAATCCGAAATTACCTCGAGGATAATTTTTAAAGGGCGATTGCTGATATTTGGGCTCGAGATGAATTCCACTGGTGCTGTAAAATTCCGGCGAGCCGTCGAGATTGAAAGGATGCGGCGGTTGATGATCCTGCGGCAGGCTATGATACTCGGAGGCTTCATCGTATCCGGAATAATTTGCCGGAGTCATGTAGCTCTCCGTGGCGGTTTGGCTAACCCTTAAATCGCTCTCGTTGGTCCCTGTACCAGCGAGATCGTTGCCGCTCGTCAAACCTGCTCCACCCCCTTGCAGGTGTTCCGTTATATGGTGATTGCTGTAGTTCGCTGTAAAAGATCGATCGGAAAATTTGAACAAGAGAACCGAACGATTATCCTTCCTCGAAATCTTTCATACTTTCTTCCTTCCTTCCTTTCTTTCATGGCAATACTTACACTCCGTTTTGAGCTGATTCAAGTTCCGTAAATGTATATACGCGTTGTTCGCGTTATTGTTATTGTTGTTGTTATTGTTGCTGTTCGGAGTACTGGAATGAGAGTTGGGCGCTTGAGTGTTATGGCTATGGGGTGGCGGCGAGGTTTCATCCCTTTGATTCTCGTCTTGGCACACGGGGCTGCGTAAATGATTGTAACCACCTGAAAAATATGAAAAAAGAGACGAAGACGTTTAATCCCAAGCGTCCATCGTGTCTTTAATCGTCCAATTACTTAAACCACAATAACAGATCGAGAAAGTAATCGTAATTTATGGATTTTATACGCCCCATCTAAATCTGTCCTCCGTCTATCTGTTCCTTTTTTAAAAATATTTCTATCTCGTTCGAAGAATTGCGGATCCCGTCGACTCGACTTCCCATCGTTTCGACGATCTCGATCTCGGTGGAATCGTCGACGTGGTGGAAAATTGATCGCTAGAACCTGGGGCACTTGTCACGAGAGGTACGGAGTCTGCAGGGAGGAACCGCTGACACGTGGGCGGCGCGCATCTCGTCGATTGGCCCGAGCCAAACTCCGCCTATCCTCGACTTCCTTTCCTCGGCCACGAGAAACCCGTCGAGCGCGCGTCCATTACGGAGGCTGCGAAACCGGCTTCGTCCTTCTTCGATCGCTAACGAACGCGATAACGCTCCTAGAATATCGATCTCATCTTTCCATCTCCCAAGATCGTGGAAAAGATCGTGGAAAATCGAAAGAAAAATCCCCCTTCTAAATCTCTTTCGGTGGAGATCTTTTCGCAATATGAAAACCAATATAACGTATTGTCCAAAGAATATCGTTTCTTCTCTTAACGCTTACATACGTCGCGAGTACAAGGATGCGAAGGGATCAGTGTACAAGTTTCATTTGATTACACGTAAGAACACGGGGATCGGTTATCCCGTATGGTGACAACCGGTGACCAATTTCCACCGTATAGCGTACATTTAATTAAACGAAACGATTCGAGCAACAACGACGACACCGCGTTTTCGCTCTCGGCTCGGCCGGGCGACTGATAAGAGCCGAGGGGGATAATGCGGTCTCCGAATCCGCGAAGATAAAAATACCGCGCATCCGGTTTCGATTAGCCGTTTTGCGGAGTTTCAACGTACCGATAACGTTTCGTCGATCTTTCGAATACTTATCTGAAATTTCTTTCCCCGAAGAATCTTGGGTATGCATGCGATGCGATCTCTCGGATCATCGGGGGGAGGGGATCGCCTTCGCGATTAATTCTCGATAAAGTAATTACATCAAACGGAATTGGAAGTGTCACGTGTACGATTGTATACCAAGCGTTTGCATCGAATCGTATGAATTTAATTCAATTCAAAATTCCCTTTTTCCAGAGATATCAGCTAATTATTCCGAGCAGTTTTTATTCGTGACCCGCCATTCCACGGCCAACCATCCCCCGATATCGCGAGGGACAATGGCTTCTGCCGGATTATCATAATCCGTCGGCTAAGCGTCGCGTTGCGTGAACAGACGGAATTACAATGTGCACGATATGTGTGACCAGCCGACGTTCCCACACTTATCCTTTTTTTAACGGCGAGGAAAACAGGTGGCCCTGCACTCGACCCGTAACGAGCAACCATCGTTCGCGACATGGCTAATAGATCGATCCACCGTTAACGAACTTCCATCCAACGATATCTCTCGCTTAACTCTCCATCTGCAAGGGATCACCCATGAATTGAGTCTTAATCAATTGAGTATCGTTGAGTACAAATATGCCCATAGTAGGTGAAAAAATCGTGAATGAGTGTACTCGAGTCGAATTTTACGGAATTATGGAGATTTCTCCTGTTGTTTTACAACAGGCGAGCTTTATTATTTTTGCTTGCATCGTTTTAATTTAACGGAGAATGTTTTGCAATTTTCGGGAATGGGATGAAGAAAGGAGTAAACACGTGTCTGAAAATAATAAATTCTTCGTAGCGATATTTTATAACAATAATATATATATATATATATATGAAATAATCAAGATAAGAAGCTGTTTTATTTCATTTGTAACTTTATCATATCCGAGATTCGACACGTTGGAACATCGTGGAACAGTTGAATTAGTTCGCTCGAGAGGGTTGTTCTTTCGCGAAAAGAAAAGATTCTCGAAAAACAAAAGAACAGGAGAGATCTAATCTTTCTTCGCGGATAAATGATGGAAGAGCTACTAGGCAACTAGGCGCGGAATTATCATAAGTCCAGGCGGGTTTCTCATAGGTTGGCGGGCAAGTCGTTTCGAAGAAGAACGTGGACGTTAATGGGGCCCAAGGGACGGACCCTTGCGCACACCACCTACACCTGCACGGGCTGGCGTGTAGCTGCACCTCGCACCCCATTTCATGGACGGTGAGCGTGGGAGTGCAGCTTTGAGTCGGCCCTCACGGCATGCCACGCATACGCGCACACGCGTATACACGCGGCACAGGCATAAAACTGGTGAACACTTTGCCCATGTGCTTCTCCACGAGCTAAATGTTTTCATGCTACCTAAATGCACCCTCTTCTCGCGCTCCATCTCCTCCTCCTCTCCCACCTCCTCTTCCCCTGCTTCTTCATCTTCGTCGTCTCGAACACCGCGACTCCGAAAGAGGAGAAGGGCATGGAGCAACGAAACTATTCCGAAAATTCCTGAGCATTCAGGCCGCGCGTTTGTTCACACGGATGAACAATTGAAGCCGGAGCAACGATTCTTTTCTCTTCTCTCGTTCGTTTGTCTTCATCGTTTTTCTTTTTCTTCTTTTTTATTCTTTACTCTCTCTCTCTCTCTCTCTCTCGC